CGGCGTGAGCGTGAGCGGCGGCAGCGCCAGCGAGAGCCGGGAGAGCCTGGCTGCGAGGGGAGAGACCTGGTGAGCCCCTGTCCTGGGGAAACTGAGGCAGGCCCTCCCCCTAGCTGTGTGGCCTCAGGTAAGCCCTCCGCACAATCTGGGCCTCAGCACCCACTTCGTGAACGGAAGAGCTGCCCCGGGGCCTTTCTCCAGGCAGTGTGGGAAAGGTCCTCTCCAGTGCTCAACCTCCCCAGAGCTCCCCAGTGCCAACGGCTTTAAGCCCCAACTTCCCATAGCCCACCAGGCCCGCATGCCCTGGCCCTCTGATCTCTCTGGCCTCTGTCCCCACCTCCTTTGGCCTGACGTCCATCTAGCCACATGGGCCACCCCACCATTCATTCCTCCCACCGAGTAGCTGGGACTACAGGCACGCGCGCCACCATGCCCGGCTAATTTTTTGTCTTTTTAGTAGAGATGGGGTTTCACCATGCTGGCCAGGCTGGTCTCGAACTGCAGACCTCGTGATCGCCCATCTCGGCCTTCCAAAGTGCTGGGATTACAGGCGTGAGCCGCCGCGCCCGGCCTGGACTGCCTTTTCTAATGCAAGTCCTGCATATCCTCCAGCTCTGGGCTTTCAAAGCCTTCAGAGATCTCCTAGGGCTCCTGGGAGGTTAGGAGCACCCACTCTGCACCCCATCCACCGAGCACCTTCCTTCTGAGCGGATTTTCTCAGCGTGTAATTATACTTCTGTGGTAGTGTGTTTGCCTCCCTAAAGAACAGAGACCGAGTCTGGCTCATTCATAGCCTCATTTCCAGGCCCCAAGCACATAGAAGTACTCAGTCAATATCTGTAGGATTAATGAGTGAATACTCCCGCTGTGTGAAAATGACCAAGGCACTTCCCCTCTCTGGCGCCTGATCGCCAAAGTTGGGGTGTCTAACCATCTCCAGGCCCCTTCCCTGCTCTAAGACTTTTCGATTTTAGTCTGCTAGGAAGGAAGGATTTGAGGTCCCTGGAGGAGGAAACCTGGCTTGGAATCCCAAGTTTATCTTTGCTTGCTGTGTGTCCCTGGGCAAACAGATCCACCTCTCTGTCTCTCTCTCTTTTCTATTTTTTTTTTTTTTTTGGTGGGGAGCGGGATGGAGTCTCGCTCTGTCACCGAGGCTGGAGTGTAGTGGCGCGATCTCGGCTCACTGCAACCTCCACCTCCCAGGTTCAAGCAGATCTCCTGCCTCAGCCTCCTGAGTAGCTGGGACTACAGACACGTGCCACTACACCCGGCTAATTTTTGTATTTTTTAGTAGAGATGGGGTTTCATCATCTTGGCCAGGCTGGTCTTGAACTCCTGACCTCGTGATCTGCCCTCTTTGGCCTCCCAAAGTGCTGGGATTACAGGCACCTGCCACCATGCCCAGCTAATTTTTGTATTTTTAGTAGAGACAGGGTTTCACCATGTTGACCAGGCTGGTCTCGAACTCCTGACCTCAGGCGATCCTCCCACCTCGGCCTCCCAAAGTGCTGGGATTACAGGGCAGAGCCACTGCGCCCAGTCTAGAGGGGGTTTTTCTGGAGCTATGAGTACGCAGATAAAGGTCAGGGTGACAACCTTTAAAAATTAGGAAGGCTTCCTGGAAAGGGGAAATTTGGGGTCTTGAAGGATGAGTAGTTCACTTGGAAAAAAGCAGGCTATTCTCTGCCTCTTTTCACCCCCCAGTTCTAATCCAACCCAGATCCTCTGAGGCATTTTAGCTGCTCATCTCCCAACATTTTCATGCTGCCTGGGCTGTTTCCTGATACAGCTGGTCACAAACTCCCTACAACAATCTCAAGGAAGTGACAGTGTTCGAACACCACAGGCTTTGAGGAAGAAACGTCCTCTGTCCAGCCCACTTCCTGACCCTTGCCCACTGAGCCACAGGCTCCTCTCTGGAGATGATAACTGTTTCCTCAAGCGTGGCTGTGAGGTTGCCAATATAAAACAGGACCCAGCCACTTACAACTTTCATACCCATATTGAAGGAAATTGCGCCTCCCAGAGATTCTGCTGGAACTGTATTTCCTATGTCCACATCTAAACAAGGGCTATTTATTTTTACCCTTCATTTATATATATATATATATATATGGTTTTTTTTTTTTTTTTTTTTTT